CTCTCTGTCTCTCTCTCCCTCTCCCTCTCCCTCTCCCACTCCCTCTCTCTCTCACTCTCTCTCTCTCTCTCTCTCCCTCCCTCTCTCTCTCTCCCCCCACCTATCGATATCTACTATATCTATCTTCTTCCTACGTATCTCTCCAGTTATCTATTTCCCCTATTTTACTTCCTTAATTAGGTGGTGATTTATCTTATTTTTATATTTCTCTGTTCATTCTCTCTATTTCGTAGTTGCTCGTATCCGGAAAAGAAACAGTTAGTCGACGCGACGCAATGATTACAACCAGTTTTAGAAAAGACGCTAACCCCTTCAGTTCCTCGGTTTTTTTCTTCTTCGTTAGTATGAACAAAACTGCGTACAAACTGTTCACAGTTCAATTACTTGTTTTTTAAGCTAATATTGGCTCATGCATAACCATTTGGTTTGGTGACTTACAGTTAGGTCTTTTAAACGCTAATAATAATATATAATGAAAAACCCTTTTTAATTTTCATTGGACAAGTTTAGTCAGATGGCCCTTAGTCCTTTTTTTTAATGGGTTAACAGCAAAAACGCGACAAAAGGAATGAAATGTAGGGTACAACAATTTAACAATGCTCATTTTGTAATGTTCGACTAAAGTCAAATGATTGACAAGGATTTAATAATGTTTCTATGCATAAGGAATTAAGCAACAAGTCGCTCCTATAGGCCACGCGACAAACGGATGTCGAAGTGTAAAGTAGTGTAGGCGCTTGGACTTGATTCTCAAGGATGAACGATTGTTTTGGTTTTCTTAATTTGTTAACGCACCTTGTTCAAAGGACGTGAAATATAGCAAACTACATTTGGGTACTGGGTCACTGACTGAACTTGCTTGTAGGTACAAAACGTTTGTTTTTGTTTATTATTGCTTAACGATTTATATTCTAGTGTTTGGTGCAAAATTGAGATTGTAATTGTATTCGAGTTGTCTGTAATTTTTTCTTCTATAATCATAAAATTGAGCTGGATGCTGAGGATGTACTAAGTAAAGGATCATGCCAATTCTAGAATAAATCATCACAATCCATTCCATAGGATCTTCAATGAAAATAAAATAAAACTAACAAGTATTAAGTAATAACTAAATATAACCCAGAGTTATAAAAATATTTATGATATAGAGAAAGATCAACACTATCTGTAATATTTTACATTACAGATTACGGGCTTTTTAAATTAGTTTTATTTTTTATAGTTTTGGATAGTAGTAGCATATCAACAGTTAAGGATATCAGTTGACAGTAGATAATTTAATCAGCATTGGTAGCTCAAAATATTGGTTTAAATACATTTTATTATACGTATAGACCATTGCTGTCTGTCGGTAGTTTAAGGTAGTGATTTAAATCATTAATATTCTCAAACCATTGGACTATATCGAATTAGACTATCGATCAATTTTAATATTTCCGATTATCAGTCACGAACGATAAGCTAGACTATACGCTGCTTCTATATCTCAACATTGGGATAGTGGTATATATCGATTAGACGATATTTCCATAACAAACTTTTAACAAAAACAAAATGGCTAGACTATAGTTTATGGCGATAGTTTAGACTGGAAGTCAATTGATATAGTATAAGCCCGAAACGAAAATTTAGAACGGTGGTATACAGGGTGCCTAGTGATCAGATGTCAATAATTCATGAGGTTATGCTAAATATCAAATTGTATTAAAAAATACCGTTTGTCCAATATCTGAAACTCAATTG